TGGAATGACGGATGATATTTAAAATGAATCTATAGAAATCTGTCAACACAGGAAAAATTTTGACATCTTATGTCCTTCTTTGCCCTAATTTACAAGTAACCTTCAAAAGCTGTTAAGAACGTCAGAATATGGGTTTAGGAAAAAAAAAACACATTCTGGAGATGTGTTTATAATTAACACATTCTATATATCTGTATTCTTGCATCCAGACAATGTTTCTACCATTAGCTGTCCATTCAGGATTGGGAAGGAGCTTGTGCCTATCTCCAGTCATACGGTGGGAGGTGGGTTATAGCTGACCGGACAGTCAAACAGGTGGACTGTATAGAACTGGCTACCTGTCCATCACAGGTAGGCAATCCATCATGGGGCAACACAAAGACACACGACAAACAACCATGAACATAAAAAGTAACTCGTAGGGACAATCGAAATCAACCAATCATGTTTTTCAAGCATAAGCGGATGTTGGAGTGCCGGGAGAGAAACCATGCATGAATGAGTAGAATACAATAGATAAAACTACTGAAAATAAATATAGATAAAAACAAAATACACACAAATATAGATTAGAAAAAAGTTGCAAAGCAATGTTTTTGTTTTTTACTTTGAAAAGTGAAAAAAAAAAAAAAAACACTGCACTCTGTTTCCAAGTTTGAAGCCTAAACCTTGCCGTCCCATTCGAGCATAATGGCCGTCTCTACAGTCACTAGTTTGTCGGCTCTGTGCTGCCATAGCGTAACAGAAGTCTTCTTCCATGTGATGGCAAAACCTGTGGCCACACCTTAAAAGTTGGTACCATACATGCACCTCCACCTTTATTCATTAACCCATACACATACTGTAGTTTGCAACAAAACTTTATTCTTTGTTCTGTTTGTAAGCGCACACATTTACTTCACTGTACTTGTAACCACTTATTCATATTTTCTTTGTGTTTTTTTGTTTTGTTTTTTTTTGTCATTAATCTTTGTTTCCTACCTTCCATGGTGCCTCGGAGTTTGGCCAGAAAAAAAGATGACAGCCAGGGCTCAGATCTCCTAAATGCAGGGAGGGGAAATTGGATTGTTCCACCAGCAGCTGCTAGAAGGGGGGAATTTGAATTTTCCTTATTTTTCTTATTCCATTTTCAGTTCTTTTTGCATTTCACTCAAGATTTGTTTTGTGGTTGGTGTGTTTTCATTTTTCATAGATGTAGACTAGTTTATTGCCAAACCTAACTGTACTGCTGTGTTTTGTAATTTGTGATTGTTTAATTAGATTTAAATACCTCTCTTGTGTTATTGGTCTGATCAGCCAGTGTATATATATATATATATATATATCCTTATTTGTCAATACTTTGCTAGGATCAGTTATGTTTGGTTATGCAGTCAGTTGATCTGGGAACAGTTTGGTTGAGTTAAATTTTGTCTTTTTTGTTTGACCTCTTTTATGACCCCGGCATCCATGAATTTTAGATTTTTTTTTAGTATGTTTTTTTTTTTTTTTTGGGTCAAAAATAAAAATCTAATTTTTGAATCATACCCTGTGACTCGTCATGCTTCTTACCTCGGTTCCTCACACTCCACAAATGCAAAGCCACTTCTATGTAATTATAAATAGCAATTTCTAAAGGCAAGGCAAAGATAAAATCAAAAGATTGATGTATCAAGCGCCGGCTCTGGCTTTCAGTGTCGTTTTGTCCTTGGGCATGACACTTCACCTGCATTGTCTATTGATGGTGGACAAAGGGCCCAGTAGCACCAGTGTACGGCAGCCCCGCTTCTGTCAGTGAGCCCCAGGGCAGCTGTGGCTACTGTACAATGTAGCTTGCCACCATCAGTGTGTGAGTCTGTGTGTGAATGGGTGAATGACTGAATGTAGTGTAAAAGACAGGTTATAGTCCCCGCAGCAGTGTGTAGCAGTGAGTTTGTCGCAGCTATTTTTGATTTATGCCCAATATTAAAGCATGGCCTGCACTATGTTATGCCATGCCACAACACAAGAGGGACAATAACGAACTAGCTTTGGGTCTAGATAAGGCCGAGGCAGTGACGAAGTGGGGGCAAGTTTGTGCGACAACGGAGAGACATGAGGGTGTAAAAGAGTGGGGATACAGCGTTCCAGCATTCTTGCGCAACTCGCTCTTCTAACTTGTCCATCTTCACGAGTCGTTTTCCACAATGGCAGTCATATAAACAAAACAAGCCGGTACAGGACAAACAGGAAATACTGATAGTGTAGAGCGGATGTAGATTTGACCAATCAGACGCCTCCTGTCTTCAGCGCTGTCTGCAACATACTGTCTGCGGAAGGGGCGGGGGCACATTTGCATTCACTGCGACACACACGCAAATGAGCTGGTTTCTGAGTACAAATCAGCCTCAAAGCACTTTGGTCAAGTCTCCTGAGTTGAAAAAGCGCTATATAAGTACAGGCCATTTACCATTTACCATAAAGATTGAGACTTTAACTTCATGGGTGATAATAGATAACATACCTATAGATATTACATTTATGTCATTAAATACCTGTGATTATTACACAGTGTACCTTTAAAAGAGACTGTATTGGATATGGGCAAAAACACATCTCAGAAAATAAACAACCCATGCTGCTATTAAGAAAATTGTGTAAAACATGCAGAACAAGCAAAAGTATTGCAGAAAACTACATGCCAGACTTTTTGAATACTGTAGAGATTGCTTAGCACATTTGTTAAAATCAATATTGATAACAAAACTAAAATAATCTATTGCATATATTTTTATGTTTTAATGAGCCCTCTAACACATTGATGTGTTTAATGTGAAACTATCCTGGGTTAAATGGAAGTGTATCATGGTCTGATATAGAGCTGATATAGCAGGCAGTCATCTATGAAGGACTTAGACACAGCAGTTATTTTTAGTGAACAGTTTTCAGATGCTGTCACTTGGAACATCTCATTAATAATCAGAAGGACAAAAAAAATTTGATCATAAAAAGCATGAAGAGGAATAAAACACCTCTGGGTTCTGTTGCAATGTTCCAGAGTCGCATAATCTATCAATAGGTGCATACATTTGCACTTTTCTAGTGACCTCTGCTAAAAGATACCAACTCCACTTTTTCTTTAATAATAGAGAAGGTGTGGTAAAACAGATTAATTATGTTCATGTCCCCAGAATCACCTCCTTTAAATGCGCTGAGGTCTTTCCGGGCTTTTATTAATCATTCTTTAATGAAAGATTAAACACATATTCATTAACAAAATTTGGACACATTTAATCAGATTGCTACTTGAGAGACATCCCTATTGTTAATTAGGCAAACAGAAACAAGTACCCAGTATGATAACAATTTGATAATAGCTGCTTATTAATATTTTTTATTTGTTTTGTGGTTATAAAATAGACCTAAGCTGTGAGTTATAACATGATTAGAATTGATTTAATTGGAAACTTTGTGGTGGCAGCATAATTTCATGGAGATATATAGGGAAAGAAAAGCTGGTGAAAGTTAATTGGAAGATTGATACAGAGAATTTCAGGAAGAAAAGAAAGATTTAAGAATATAAAAAGGAGGTTCATGGTTCACAAGGTCATTGAGCCTTAATATACCAACTAACACTTGACTGAAGAGGCTAATTATGTATTAGAATGGCTTAGTCACACATATCAACTGTGCATATTTTTTTTCCACATATTTATCTTGTTTGTGTAGTGCTTAGAGTAGGCCCACTCCACAAAATTCTAATAAAACACAAACAGTTTTGTTATAAGCAATTGTATGATAAGATGAAACTTCATAAGAGGCCACTTAGGGAGAGTTTTAATTCCATTATGTGTGATTGATTGTCAGATGGCTGCAGTGTCGCAGTGGGTAGTACTGAGGTCGTGCACCGACGAGGTTCCGGATTCTAATCCTGACCCGGGGTCTTTCTGCAAGGAGTTTGGATGTTCTCCCTTTGCATGTGTCCCTCCAGGTACTCCAGCTTCCTTCCACAGTCCAACAACATGTCCGTTAGGTCAATTGGCTTCTCTAAATTCAAATGTTAGTGTGTGTTTGAATCTTTGTTTGTCCTGTTTGTGTTTGTGTTGCCCTGCGATGGACTGATGACCTGTCCAGGGTGTACCCCACCTCTCACTGGTAGACAGCTGGTGAGGCACCAGCACCCCTCACACACCATACTTGGGATAAGTGTGACAGAAAATGGATGGATGATTTTCAGATGTCCTTGGCTAATTATTTTCATCACATTTCTTGAACCAAAATGCTTTTATGTTTTGGATCTCCTTTAAGTACGACTTTCAGTATCACTGTACTATAAGTTGTCACCGTGGTGTTACTTGCCAGGTCTTTGATACAAATCATGGAGCACCTGGAGCCCTAAGCGAAGACACTGAAGCCCACGCTGTCCTCAGCAGACTCATGACTCTAGATAAAAAAGGCTGCTGAAATTAACTAAAAAAATAAATAGGTGAAAGCAAAGTCAATTGCTTAGTAGTACTATGTTAAATTGGTCATGCTAACTTCACCATATATCACTACAGGATTATCTTTATGGCTCAGAAAACAATGAGCATATCCTGTTGTGTCTGGATCTTCAGATTAATTTTATTTTCTAGATTGTTTTTAGCAATTTAAAACTTTTTGGTACCATTACTTCGTAGGCGTGAGAAGGATCACTTAAAGTTGATAGTTTTTAAGTAGGTCTGCTGTATTTTCAGAATTATCTTTGCTTAAAACTGGTTTTGTCCTTTTTATTGGACTTGAAAAACAACGATTTGTGAGTATTTTACCAAAAAAAAAAAAAAAACTAAAATAAACGATTAATTGAATTCATCCAACTACAGCTGTTGCTGTATGTTGCCATCTGTCGGACGTTCGTTGAAATTACGTTTTTTTGGTGGACTTAATGATGCTTTCAAGATAATGGGAACTTTTTTACGTCAATCAACCAAAACAGATACAGGCAAATTTTCTTCAAAATGTATTTACACTTTAGTTACCTAACATTATATCTCAGCTTATATGTCATTTCAAAGTATAGAAATATTTAATTTAGTAATTAAGAAATGCATTTCCAACTTGGACATGTGTTTACCACTACCGGCTTTAGCATTTGAAACTACCAAACATGGCGGAGATGGAAGAGCCGTAAGTAGACGCAGAGGAAACGAGAAAGAAACCCCGAAAATATGCTGTCTGATCCCATTAACCTAAAAACATAGCGTGAATCAACCTTCCTTTATTCTCTCTTTTTAGGGAGAAGAAGAGAGGGAGAGTAGTGGAGCTGACTGAGAAGTTAGTGGAGGTTTGAGGTTTCCAGGGCTCCGGGTTTAAACAGGAAGAACAGGAAGAAAGCAAACCTTAGCTAGAAAAGAAAACTAACCTGGCTGTAAACAAAATACACAAGTAACCACTTTAGAGGCATTTTCCGTGGCTAGTCTATCAGAAACAAAAAGCTTGTCTAAACAGTGAATTCGCGACTTTTATCCGTATTTGAAGGAATGATGTGTGGTCACTGTTGACATAATGGCTATTTATGGAAGACTAACCGTCGGTTTTATCCACCCAGGAGCAGCTGAGGGAGAGAGAGTCAGAAACACCTGACCTAAAAGGAAAAACAAAATGTTGCGAGCTTAGATAAAACAAGTTTTGAATAAGTCAAGGAAATGTGCAAAGCTTTGTATAATGTTGTGATAGTCCAGCACAAAGTTGTTCATTTTTGTGGAGTGGAAGGGAAATGAGACATGGTTTGCTAACATTCGGGCTATTTGATTTATAAATCAATCAAATATGCCCCAGCAGGACGCTGCCAACATTTTTAGGCTGATGATGCTGTTTTAAGAGTTTGCTTTCGACTTCAAACGAGCAGAATATCTACATCTGGACTCATTTCCCCCCAGTATTGCGGGGAACTCTAATAATCTCTTATCACTATTTCCATCAAAGGCTTGGCAAGTTTACATTTCATTTTGTTCAGGATGCCTGAGCTGTGGATCTCCTGTCAGTTCAGACAGACAGTTGTGTTTTGGTTTACAGTGGTGCCATTACTTTTTTCTTTTTCATTTTTGGATTATGGACTGACCAATCATTGAGATGATACAGATCCTATTGTGACAAAGTGGTTTAGTTCGTGTGCACCACTCGTCCCTTATTCTTATTTCTTATTCATAATGCTTGAATTTAAACATTAGTTTGCAACTTTGCGTCACTTACTATCCCGGGTTTGTTTGTGTTAGCATTATGTTTTATTTTCCATCTATTTATATATTTAGGTTAAAAGCTATTACTTCTGGATTATCGATTGAACTTGTTTACTTTGTTTTCAAATAAACAATCAGCATATTCATGGCATCTGTTTATCTTTTTACTCACCATTGTTTGTCCCAGTATTTCCTGCTAAAATGACCAGATGATGTCATTCATTACCCTGCTGGGTTCTACCAATTAGAGGGTTTTCTTTTGAATAACGCTTTGCTTGTTTTTCTTTAAGTAAACTTTTTGAGTTACCTTGTATCACATAGCTTATTTTGCAGACCCTTTCATTATGTAGATGAGTTTGTAAATTAGATTAATGGTTTTTTTCTTGTTTCTCTGTTAAGACTTTGTTAGTTGTTTCTACCTGTTTAATTGTGGCTTGGTCCAATCAAGTGCAGATGTGTTGCCAATTAATGATACAAACATTTGGGAAGCGCATTAGAATGTTTGTCAGAGTGAAAAGGGCCAAATAAATAAAAAACAATCAGAGGAATCTGGAACCGATGGCTGGTCTTTGACCATATTACCTTCACACCTATGTGTGCTTTAAACCTTCTACAATGTTATCCCTGGCATCTGTGTTTTCTTTGGTCTTTATCCTGCTAATTGTTCAGATTGGTTTCCAACAGCATCTGAGGCCTTCACAGGAAAGCAGTTTTTGTAATGACAAGTTAAACTTGTCAAAAGTGTTGAATTAAAAATCCAAAAGACTAAATTCAAAAAACAAACACTTCTCACCTTTCAGTTTTTATTTATCATCAGATGAGAAACCCGTGTCTGTATTTCCTCGTTCTTTACATACATGCACTACTTTGTGTTTGCCTATCTTATAGAGTGCTTAAAGACTGTGCTCATCTGATAAATGTGAAAAAATATACATGAATATTTTTCAAGCAGCAGGTCTCTTTTATTTCAAGGTCCTTTAACTGTGTCATCGGATATAAACTGCACAGTTCACTCTACCTAATGTAGATTCTTTGAGTCATTGCTCCTTTTTGGTCAACCGTCTGATATTATCTTGTACAGCATTCATTTGCCATATGTCTTTCAGATTTATGGCACATATTAATGTTTCTATATATATGTCCTTTCTGCAGGATGGTGGTGGACGGAGTCGGCGGGGGGAGCTGTGAATGGGAAGGCCGATGGAATCACGTCACAAAGTTCCTGGAGAGATCAGGGCCATTCACACATCCCGACTTTGAGCCCAGCACAGAGGTAGTCATCTCGATAAAGCTTTCAAGTGCCGCCCTCCATAAACTGTCCTGTTGTTTCTCAATAATGTTATGTTATTGTTATAATTTCAACAGTGTTTGCAGTTTTTGTTAGAAACCTGTAAGATCCTGGTCATTGGTGCTGGTGGACTGGGATGTGAGCTACTGAAAGACCTGGTAAATTCTCTGCTGTTTACATTTCCTCTCTGTTCTAAAATAATCCACTGCTAATATAATATGTACTATGCTTGTCTTTGCTGTGTCATTCAGGCTTTATCAGGCTTCCGAAACATTGATGTAGTGGACATGGACACAATAGATGTTTCCAACCTGAATCGTCAGTTCCTTTTCAGGTGGATGTAATTATTTAGTTATTGATTTACAATTACTCATTAAATAAAGCTGAAGCATTATTTTAGTTTTTAAAAATATGTTTTTCACCAGATCAAAAGATGTAGGCCGACCCAAGGCAGATGTGGCAGCAGATTTTATCAACAGCCGAATCCCAGGGTGCCGGGTGGTACCGTATCCTTTTCCAAAAGCAAGATTTTGGATTGTTAACCACATCATTTTACACCTTTCTTTGTGGAAAATATCACAAGCACACAGATCCAATCTCAGAAAGTAAGGGGAATGTGAAATAAAATTAGAATGATCTTCTCCTTAATCTTTGCTTCAGACATTTTAAGAAAATTCAAGATTTAGATGAAACGTTCTACAGGCGTGAGTATCTGTCATGTACTTCCTCATCTCTTCAGACTTACTAAATCAGTGGTTTATGTCTTTGAGGAGGTACTTAGTGTACGAATTATGTAATATAGTAAGTTTTATTCAGATGAACTACTGCTAATAAATCCATACTGAATTTATTTCATAAATGATTATAAAAACACAGCTCATTAGTGAAATAAACAATATTCAGACCATAGTGTAAAAAAAGTGGCATATGTATCACAATGCCTTGCAGAAACGTCCATACACTATAATCTTTTTGTCTCAACATTCTTCAGTTTTTTTTATCTGATATTATTATAGCTTTTTTGGTGAAAAAACTCAGTGAACACACCATCCCCACTTTTAAGAAAATAAATGGTGGTAGCATCGTGCCGTTGCGATGCCTTTTGCAGCAGGAAAAGGAAACTGTTCAAATATTTTTATAAGACATTGAATTTGTGGTTTTACTCTAGCAAAATGTTAACCGGTTCAATGGGGATAAATATTTCTTTAAGGCACTCTGTGCTTTTATCTGACGTGTACTTGACAGTACAGGTGAAACAAAAAAATATCCGGTTATTCCAGGTCAGATTAACATATTAGTTTGTAAGAGATATTTGAATGCCTGTGTCCAGCTTTATTTTGGATCCATCTATCCATCTTCTCCTGCTTACTCCATCAGGGTCAGTGGGGCCGGTGCAGACTATGGGAGAGGTGGGGTACACCCTGCACAGCCTGTCGCAGGGCTACACAGAGACACACATCCATGCACACCCACACCTAGGGACAATTTAGAGAAGCCAATTAACCTAACAGTTAACCTAACTGTGGCAGGAAGCTTGAGTATCATGAGAGAACCCACGCATGCACAGGGAGAACATGCAAACTCAATGCAGAAAGACCTCGAGCACAGCACCTTCTCACTGCAGGGCAACAGTGCTCCAAACTGCACCACCGTGCAGCCCCATTTTGGTACCATCCATCCATTTTTTCCAGCTGTCTACGGACAGGAGGCGTGGGTACACCCTGGACAGGTCGCCAGTCCATTGTATGGCAACACAGAGACAAACAGGACAAACAACCATTCACACACACTCACAACTTAGGAGAATTTAGAGAAGCCAATAAACCTAACAGTCATGTTTTTGGACTGTGAGAAAGCCGGAGTACCCGGAGAGAATCCACGTATGCTCAGAGAGAACATGCAAACTCCATGCAGAAAGACCCCGGACCGAGAATCGAACACAGAACTTTCTCATTGCAGGGCAAGTGCTACCCACTGCTCCACCGTGCAGCCCCATTTTAGTACCTTAAATAAAACATGTTAAAACAGAGAGCACCTTACATGTAGACATTGAACAACCTTCAGCCACCTGGCTTCTAATGCTGCTGGCTCTCTAAAGGGATTTATATATAAAACTCTTGAATTGAAATTGATTAAATGACATTATTATGCTAATTATTTTGAAGAGTTATCCTCATTATTAACAAAACTTACAGCCTTTTATTTATTTTCTCCTGCTTTCATATAGGATTCCACATTATTGTCTGTGGGCTTGACTCTATCGTTGCCAGGAGGTGGATGAACGGTATGCTGGTAAGTTGTTTCCTTATAGAACTGATCTTCACTTTTTTCATTTATCAGTATCAAAGCTGTGATTTCAGGATGATAAGAGATTTTTTATGCATTTGTTTTTATGTGCAGATATCTTTGCTGGTATACGAGGATGGTGAAGTGGATCAAACATCTATTATTCCACTTGTTGATGGTGGGACAGAAGGCTTTAAAGGCAACGCCAGGGTCATTCTCCCAGGCTTAACTGCCTGCATTGACTGTACCCTTGAACTTTACCCTCCCCAGGTAATCTGGGACACCTTCAGTGTAGCCAATGCACAGAAACCAAATCATAATGGGTTTTAATGTCCACCTGTTCTTGCAGATTAACTTCCCCATGTGCACAATAGCAACAATGCCTCGGTTGCCAGAGCATTGTATTGAATATGTACGGATACTGCTGTGGCCCAAGGAGATGCCGTTTGGAGGTAAATAACAAAGGCGGATTACTTGTCACTTGTTTTTTTTCTTATTATTTCCCTTTTATGATTAAGCTTGATAATAAAGTACAACTTTGTTCTTTGGCTGTTTTGTTCTGTAAATGTGGATAAGATGCTATAGCCTTGGACGGAGATGACCCCGAGCACATCCAGTGGGTGTTCCAGAGATCTCTGGAGAGAGCTGCAGAGTTCAGCATAACTGGAGTCACATACAGACTTACACAGGGTGAGCATAAAACAGCCCATCTGCTGCCAGGTCTCTGTTGTTTTGTCTTCCTGCTGCTCCTCTGGGAAATGAGCCAAGTTATAAAAAAAAAAACACAACTGTTAAACTTTTTATTTCAGTCTGTGTGTTTGCATTGAATTTAGAGATGATTATCTAACAGAGATCACTTTTATCAGTATTTGGTTTTATTTAGTTACATTTATTGGCTGTCTGGTTTCTTTTGATTGAGGAATGATGAGTGAGCAAAGCAGATTTTCCCTTTGAATTTTGCAGGTGTTGTGAAACGCATAATTCCTGCTGTAGCATCTACAAACGCTGTCATTGCTGGTAAGTTTCAGATTATAGGTATATCTGTCAGAAGTCTTGGGCTGGTTATAGTTTATTCAAATTTCTCTCAACCTATAAGATAAATATTAGAGAAGTACCAAAAAGCTGCACTCAAGTAAGAATTGCACTACTTCATGTTTTTACTCATCCAATAAAAGTAGTAAAATAGTAATTGGGAAGAAATTTTAGTGGTTTAATTATGTTGTACATTTAGAAAACATACATTTATCAGCAAATTTGGAAGTTGAGATTAAAAAAATAATATATAACATTTGATAATTAAAAAACTATTTCAGGTGGAAGAAACAAGATTTTTTTTTTTTGCTAAAAAATCTCTTGACATCCTTATTGGTTGTACGTTATGGATGTAGATGAGAACATGGTAAGTTACATCCTGTAACATGATAAAATAAAGTATTGACTGATAAACTTGACCTCCAAACAACACAGCATATTGGCAAATAGGAAATAAAAATAAAACAAAGAAGCTGGAGTACTAAGCAGAAGTCTCACACATTAACTGTAGGTGTTCCGCTCTCTGGTGCATTTACAATAGAATAGAAAATCCCTTTATTGTCCCACAAGGAGGAAAATCTGGTGTTGCAGCAGCAAAAGGATTATAAAAAAATGGTCACACAAATATGGAACTTTGAAAAATGTATAAGAATAACATAATAGTGAAGAGTTAAACGATAAAGAATAAAATACTGTACTGTAAAATGTTTTAACAGTATAAAACTGCACCTGGAGAATAAATACCAATATACAGTTATGGACAGTTTTACAGAAATGGATATTTGAACATAGCAGCAACATCAGAGATGTGCAAAATGACAATGGCAGGCCATTTAACTGACTTGGGTAGAAACTGTGTAAAATCAGCATGAATGTAACAACTTATTGAAGTTGTTTGGAACAGTGGTCATTATAGAGTCTTACAGCTGCTGAGAGGATAATGCTTCCTGGTGCATTTGGGGTGTAGCAGTCTGTTACTGAAGGAGCTGTCTAGTTCTGCAACAGCTTCATGGATGGGGTGGGAGACATGTTTGTGTAAAACCAGCCTGTTCTTTCCATGGGTGGGTGGAGTAGCCAGACATTTTACCCAAGTATGAATAGAGATACCACATATTTTTACTCAAATAAAAGTAATGCAGAAAAAAACTACTCATTATAAGTACATTTTTATCAAAAAGTTACTCAATTAAATGTAACTGAGTAAATTTAACTACTTACTACCAACCTCTGAGATATATATATATATATATATATATATATATATATATACCAGAACAGTTTTTAAAATATATTAAGAAGATTTTGCTTTTTTTTATTTTTTAAACATAACATAGTTTGTGTTTTAACTACTTTGTTTTCTGCTTTTTGTGACGCAGCTGCTTGTGCAACTGAGGTTTTTAAGTTGGCAACAAGGTGAGTCATGAATCTTTCTTTTTTGCAATCATAAAAATTGGTTTACAAACTTTATCTCATTGTCTCGTATGTCATCTATTTGTGCAGCGCCTATGTACCTCTTTGCAATTATATGGTGTTCAATGATGTGGATGGCTTATACACGTACACTTTTGAGGCAGAACGGAAGGTTTGTGCCTGGGTTCCTTCTTTTTTCGTATTTATTACTATGATTCAGATTTTTTTTATGAGGTTGAGGCAAATTGCGACTCTTCCCTTTGTAGGAAAACTGTTCAGCCTGCAGCCAGATTCCTCAGGATCTAGGCTTTTCTCCATCTTCCACCCTGCAGGAGGTTCTGAACTACCTGACAGAGAGTGTCTCCCTGTAGGTTTGCTTGACTCTTTGTGCTTTCTTATTAAGTTTGTTCTTATGGTTGTTATCATCCTTAATTTATATGTTGAATCTGTAACATCTGTTTTCAGGCAAATGAAATCACCTGCTATAACAGCAAAGGTTGAAGGAAAGAGCAAAACTTTATATCTGCAGGTAAAAAAAAGTCTTAGTTTATATTTGACTAATAAATATGATTAAATTGGAAATCTCTAAAATAATCTTATCCATTGTATCTTCTTTCTCAGTCCGTTGCCTCAATCGAACAAAGGACAAGACCAAATCTTTCCAAAACCTTGAGAGGTCAGTTGCTTCTAAAATATTTGATTAGTGGCAGAGCTTTGATTTATAACAGGCCATATGTCTTCTTCATGCATGTGATTGACCTGTTTTCCAGATCTGGGCCTAAAAGACGGACAAGAACTGGCTGTGGCTGATGTCACCAGTCCCCAAACCATGCTGTTCCGACTCTGCTTTACCTCATAAAACTATTTCAAGCTATTTCAATACAGAACAGTTTACTGCACGTTCAGTCAAATTTTCATCAGGTGTAATTAATGTTCTACTGGTAAAATGTATATATTGACAAAAGTGGACGTTTTGCACAGGAAAGCCAAATTGCTGTCTACATCTTGTCATTTTTGATTGTTTCGTTTTTTTGTTTGTTTTTGTTAATATCTGACATTTAAATAATTGTAGTTTGGTTTGGGCAAATAAGAATATTCTTTAAATGCTTTGATTGTACTTATTTATTTCCTAGTTTTTTTCAATTTACATTGCCTATGCAGCGGTATGAAGATGTTTGAGTTGGAATAAAATGGTTTGTCTTATATCATGTTGCTTCTTGTCCCTACACACACACACACACACACACATATATATTTTTTGGTTTGTCTTTTACAATAAACATGATAGTGCATGAAAAATATGCTGTCAATTATATAAAAAAATAGGTCTGTATCTTGAAGAAGCATTCAAAGATCTTACAATTTTACGAACGTTTTACATTTTTTAAGGGTACAAGTTTTAGAAAAATGTATGTAATGGACCAAAACCGAAGCGCTAAATATTGTACATTTTATACAAATACAAATCTAAAATTTCACAAATGCATTTTCATTTAGACATCTTGTAAAAAAAAAAAAAAATGTATTTGTAGGACTAAACAACAGCTAGATGCGTGGGTCATCCCAATAAGTTCTGAAAATCAAGGGAATAAAAAGTGGCTAATCTGTGCAGCACAGCTTTATCTCTTCAGAATGGTTAAAGGGCATAACATAAACAGAAGTTTAAGTGCAGACAAAGTGTTTTAACTTTGGACTCAGACTGGGCTATTTTAAGGCATGAATATGCTTTGGTCTAAAAAATGACATTAGAATTTCTGTTTACCGTACAAGAGGAAATTTCTTCTGAAACATTAACCTTCAACCTACTCTCAAGTCTTTTTTTTTTTTTTATCTCTAACATGCTTACCCTCTGTTTAGCTGTTTCTGTGTACCGATCAACTCTGAACCATCCAAAATAAAAGAAAATAATAAAATAAACCTTGGTCCATAATGCTGTCACCATCTCTCCTGTAGACACGTCTTTAGGGTCAGGCACACAGTTTGTGGCATGTAAACCTGCAACATTAGTTTGGTTCTATAATCAGAGTACATTCCACCTGTTGGTTTAGCTCTTTGCAAGGTTTTAGATTCTAGCTGGGGACCACATTTGCAAACTAACAAAGCTACGAAATTGAAAAAGAAATATCAACTTTTAGACGTTTTTCTTTTTTTTCTATTTAGTTATTACTGCATTACTTCAGCATAAGAATATTAATTAGCATATCTTAACTCTATTGTATTCCGAATAAGTAAACCCTTTTAAAGGGTGTAGTGGGAGGGCGGGTCGAGGGGAGTGGCGGCCTAGTAGTTAGGAAATCGGACTTTGAATCCTGGGGTTTTGAGTTTGAGCCCCACTCTCACAGACCGCAACTGCTCACCAAGGGGATGGGTTAAATGCAGAGAGTTCATTTCGTTGCTCTGTACTTGTGACAGTGTAATAACAATATAAAAGCTGCGGGAAAAAATTATAATGCTAATGTCCACATGTAGAAAAGCTTCATGTTGTGTTTTGTGTATCTTTAAATTTGAAAAGTCAGAATCACACAACTGTTCTATTGCAAAAGGGGAAAAGCCTTTCAGTACCCTGTCAGCCAAGATCAGATAGTCCTTACTAAGAGTAAGAGCCTCAAATTTCAGTTTTTAAATCTCTATGTTTTTATGGTTAAATTATTAGTTAATGCTAGGTTAGTTTACAATAATGATCAAAATAAAGTTTATGATAAAGAAAAATATTTTTTTTGCATATAGAGGATAAGATGATTAGGGCCACTAAAAAAAATAAAAAAGTTAACTGATTTTTGAATATTACTTCAGTTTAATGTGGGAAAACGCCCAAATTCTGACTTTAATCTCAGAATTCTGACTTTTTTCTCAGAATTTTCTCAGAATTCTGACTTTAATATCAGAATTCTGACTTAAATCTCAAAATTCTGACTGAATTCTGACAGCTTACAAACATGTTGGCATCCAGCAGAATTCTGACTTTTTTCTCATATTATACTGAAATAAAATTTAAATATCAGTTAACTTTTTTGTTTTTTCAGTGGCCCTAATCCTCTCCCGTACTTAAATAATCTAGAATCTAAAATACATACAATATGAGGTTTTTATGTTCGAGTCTTAATGTACTTTCAATTTTTTTTATTTTATTGTGGACAATGTGCGTTTGTTTTCGTTTTGTCTTACGCATGGCAAGTTGCGGCTGCCTTCCTTTACCTCGGATATTGCTGGAAGAAAAGTTAATCTCCTAAAATAACTGACCGCTATATTCGGTACGAGACACACAATAAAGAATATTTGAAATTACAGCATTCTAAACAAATCGTTAATAAAATGGAAAGTCCTTGCGTGTTTTTCTGCTTTGAATATTTCCCTTATGATATTTTTTTTGGAAATTCTGAGCGGTACGCGAATGCAACACCAGACCCAAACCGGATCGTGACGTCATTGTGCTACGTGGAAAGGAAGTGGCGAGCATGCTAGCCTTAGCTGTGCTACAAGTCAACTGCGACCAAAACAAACGATGAGGGCCATTAAAATGAGCCGAAAAAGGCGTGAATTGACAACGACAGTTGGTTTAGTTTAAAAGTTTGCGTTGAGAGTTTGGATTATTTATTAGCTATTGGTCTTTTCTGGTGACGGGCTCGTAGGAAACACTATATTTTAGGTGTGAGTTAAGCAGTTTTTTTTTTCTTTCCAGTTGAAACTATCTGACCAAAATAATTTACAGGAACCGTATGTTTATTAATGTCTTCGATGTTTAGCTTTTAACTTCTTACTCGGTCCTAGCTGCCTGTTTGGCTCCGAAGACTGTGACTTGTGAAGGCAGGTCAGTGATAAATAAGAAAAATGTGAAGACTTATACCTTGTCGAACCCGCTTGAAGTCAATTTGTTTTAATAACTAGCTAGCTTCAGTATCAGAATGAGCTGGTTTAACGCGTCTCACCTGTCGAGCTTCGCCAAACAAGCTTTAACGACAGCGCAGAAATCAATCGACCGAGTTCTGGACATCAAGGAAGAGGATCAATGGGGTGACACGGTTGTAATGCCCTATGACGGTAAGCAGCAAACGCAGCCGTATTTAAAGATGTTAAATCAGTACATGGAAAGTTCAATGACCACTTTGCTATCTGTTTTAGATACATCCTCACCTGGGAAGGTCACTGTGAGTGGAGGATGGGGTATGACGCAATGGGAAGCGCCTGCTGAAGAGAAGGCCACTACTCCTCCTCTCACCTCTGAGGCTATTACCACCCCTGTCACACGTACTGTTGTGGATGAATCTGAAAACTTTTTCAGTGCCTTTCTATCACCAGGAGATGCACCAGTGACCAATTCCAAAGTTGTGTCAATCCCCCCAGCAAAGACTCAAAGGCAAACTCAGGAGAAGGAAAAGAAAAGCAAAAACGAAGGAGCAGTGCTGCAGATCAAAAATGAGGACAATACTCCAGAACCAGAAGGGCCTACGGAGGAGAGTATTGAGAGTCAGGTAGTGGCGGACAGCCAACAGCCTGAGGAGACCAAATCCGCTCTTGCAGCACCTTATGCTGATGCCATCCTCCTTCAGCCGGTTTCTCCTGTTTCTTCTCCAACTGACCACCCTTTCAGTCCAGACAGCACGATCGACGATGTAAAAACAGATACAGAGTCAGTTTCAGCTGAATCCAAAACGCAAGCAGAAGATCCACCTGAAAAACAGGTAGAGACCGATTCCACAAACTCCTCTGAAGCTTCTGAAGATAAGAACTCTACCCCAGCTGATAACACAATCCCCGCATCCTCCAAGGACGTTCCCTCTGCTCAAAAGGATCTTAAAGCAGAGGATCGTCAAAACGAGACACCCTCTCCTCCAGTCAGTGCTTTCTCCTCGGGGACTTCAACTACAAGTGACATTGAAGTGCTTGACCATGAGAGCGTGTTGAGTGAAAGTTCTGCCAGCTCCAGACAAGAAACCAGTGAGAGTAAAACTGGGCTTCACCTGATGCAAGGCTCCTTCCAGCTCCTCACGGCTTCAACCTGTGGAGATTTTGCCCGACTGGAGGACTATCACAAACTCACAGAGAGCTGCGGGTCCTCCTCAGATGCGTTTGAGCGCATTGATTCGTTTAGCGTGCAGTCCCTGGACAGCAGGAGCGTCAGCGAGGTTAACTCTGATGATGAAGTCCCTGGAAGTCGGACTCTAGCTTCCGTTACTGCTGGCCCGACTCCTCTGTCTTCAACATGTGAAAAGCAAGAGGATGAAGTGGAGGAGAGCACAGACGATGTGAAGGATGCCCAGGAAGAAGGACTGGTTGAGGCAGGCAAGGAGCAGGCAGTAGACGAGATGGAGGAAAGTGGGCGAAGTGCAACTCCTGTGAACAGCGAGCAGCCTGACGAATTGTATGGCAGCGTTGGTGACGATACGGTGTTCGGCTCTACCTGCAGTGCAGAAGAAAAGGGGACTCCGCCAATCACAGAAGAGATGAGAAGTGTCTCAACTTCACAGATATTGGAGCTGCAAAAGGTAAACCTTAAATCTATTGGGAACAGATATGTTCTACAGAATTGCAGACACACAAACCCATCATGCAAATAGGATTTGTTTTTGTCTGCAGAGTTGATCTAATCTCAATCATTACTACAGTAGATTGGTTGCAATAAGTAGCAGAAATGTCTCGATTCAATATTTGATTGCCTAATGAAGTACTATTCACACAGGCTGCATGACAGTGAGGTATGTCAACAGTTAGGTGAATTTGCTGTCCTTGTTTCCTAAACTTGATACAGTTTTTGGTGACCAAGATGCTAAAGCTGTCAGAGAATGATGTGGTCATCATGTTGATAGAAAAGGTGGATTCAAGGCAGCTAGCATTATTATAGTAGTATTAAACCTTACAGTTGTATATTTTGCTTATATTGTCCTACTCAAGTTTATATACATGTGTATATACGTGGACATGATGCAGTCTAATACAGGTTTAAAATTTAATCAATAACTGAAATTGATGTAAACCAATGCAGTAAACTATCATTACCTGGACTGTAGAGACTAAAACATGCCATTTCCTGAAAGAAGAACCTACTTACTAGGATGTCCTGATACAACTTTACATTTCCTATATGATGCTGATATTGCAGTTTTAAGAATTGACTGTTATCAATATTGACCTGATATGATATTAGCACAAATTATACATGTTTTTATTACTTATTTTGTAATTATGTTTTGAAAAGGCTTGACCAAGTAACAATACTAACACGGAGAACAGTAGTCAACAACAATAGGTTTGAGAACAACATACCCACGTAATGTTAACAAATGCGGGTTTGCCATTAATCATATAATTATTTTGAACAATTTCTTTGCATGATTGGAATTTGAATTATGAATAACTCATAATTCTTGATAAACCCTAAAGACTGAATGTATTGCCTGAATAATTTTTTGTACTTAATTTTCTTTTATCAGTGTACATAAACATGGATCGGTTTGAACATGTGATTAGATGGAGTCACTGTGTGCATTTATGCGATAAAACCATTTTAAAATAGGCATGTTTTTTAAAAGCAGTATTATTGTTTGTTTATAATGAAAAATATGTCCTAGACTTGGATAACTTTTATTTTCATTTTGTATACACATAGTGTATACAAATTGAAATTTCGTTTTGCATGGCGCTACAGTTTTATGTCCGAATCTCCCACCCTGCTTTCCTCTGATGGACTGCTTTTGTTTTCTGTCCAGCTATTTCCTGGTATATTTTCTTCCAATCATGCGCTAATTCTAATCATCAAACAATATTTTGTTACCTGGACTGTAAAGACTAAAACATGCCCTTTCCTGAAAGAAGAACCTTTCAGGAAATTGCATGTTTTGGTGTGCAGTCCCTTATTGTTTTTTTTTTTGCTTCTAACTCTGCCTCTGGTACACCAGATGTTTATTCAGTATGTTATATTTTTTGTTGTGGTTTGTTTTTGCAATGAGCTTGATTTCTTTGAAGTTAGGAGTCCTCTCTGCTACCGCCCTCATTTTTAGTTCGCTGCATAGATTTTCTGTCGGACTAAACCACCATATCTGGCTGTACCACTATGAAATGAATTTCCAATAAGAAAAAAAATTTTAGTAAAATTAGAATAAAGTGTAAAACCTGAGTCTTTCAGGTTTGTTAATAATGAGTAAAACTCTGCCCTTCTGTTTACAGAATTTTTATTCTTTATTTAGTTTCTCTGTATTTTTGGAGTATGGCTCTATACAGCTTTGCCCTTGCTGTGTATACATTTCTTCTATTATGGGTATTTTTGTAGGTTATTGATGATCTGTCAAGCCGTCTGGAGAAGAGAGAATCTCAGCTGCTGGCTGTGAGCAAAGACAAGGCCAGGCTGGATGAGGAGTGTGACAATTTGAAAGAGTGAGTTTGTGGTTTGTACCAACAGACAATGACTGAAGCAGACAGATTTCTTGTTGTGTTTAATCATATTTACTACAAAATTTCATTGGAAGGCATGCTGAGTAACACTGTGGTTATATTGATGTGAAAGTAAGTGTTTATACCATATGTTTATCTGTCAGTGAAGTGATGAGCCTGAAGGAAGAGAGCTCCAATGTGCAATCCCTGAAAGATGAGTTCACTCAGCGTATTGCAGATGCAGAGAGGAAGGCTCAGTTGGCCTGCAAGGAGAGAGATATAGCCAAAAAGGTAATGTTAGTATTAGTGTTTTAAGGGTTTATCAACATAGACATCAAAGTTAAATCTGTAAACCATTGTCATTTTCCCCCCATTGTTTGGTTTGCAGGAGATAAAAGGTTTGCGGGAAGAACTTTCTACGAGACTAAACTCTTGTGATACAATGGAGCTAATCAGGGAGAAGGAGGAGCAGATCAGAGGTCTGCTTGAAGAAGGTGAGAGTCACTTTTCGAGTCCACTTGTCTCCGCACAGTAAAGCCTGAGCCTTCGGATTGCTTCTTTTATTTGTTTAGATGTTTTATATAAATCATGCAATATTTTGATAGACTGACATTATTAGACTTAATTTATTCAGTGAGAAGTTATCCCACTCGTTGACCGACAAAGGAAATATACAGTTTGTTCTCATGCTGTAAAATGCTGTTAAGTCTTGTGATTTTGACTAAAGGTAAGTGTAGATTTAAACAAACGGTTATGGTAAATATAGTCCTAGCAGATATTCAAATTTAAATAATTTTTCTGTAAAAGAAGGCAGAGAAACTACCTCAAACAGGGATTTGAATCAGATAAACCCAGCTTGAGACTGTAACTCGAAGAAATATGTATGGCTTTGGGTTTAGTGTTTTGTTTTTGCTTACCATCAGGTGAGAAGCTGTCAAAACAACAGCTGCAGCAGAGTAATATCATCAAGAAACTGCGTGTAAAGGAAAAGGAAAGCGACAGTAGGATTACCAAGCAGCAGAAGAAGATCAAAGAGCAAGAAGAGGAGCTTGGGCATCTGCAGCAGGTAAGGGAAAAAATATACATCAGCAACAATTCTACTAATTCACTTCTGTGTGACTGTATGAGTGATCTCCAATTTTTAAAGATAAGGACCAATCTTTAAGATGGCCACGTTTTTCATACTAATGTGAAAGCAGTGAATGCTAAACGCTGAATCATTATGATTGTGTTTTTTTTTTGTTTTTTTTTTTTTAGCATATAATGGCTTTTAAACCAGTAAATATAATCTTAAGTCCTGGGATTCATTTTACCTGAAAGGAATCCAGGGGAATCAGTCCCCTTTACTTTGAAAGGCCCTGGAACATTAGTTCAAATCTGTGTTAGAAAATTTTTCTACACCTTCAGTCCAGTAAGTGGCGGTAATAAGAGCAAACAACCAGTTTTAACCTTTACTCCAAATGCTAAAAAAGTTAATCATAACAATCTGTTTACTCCCTTAAAGAGACGCTTTATTTTTTAGCTGTTTAGCTGAAGAGTTGATGATAGCAAGACATGAAAATACATCTCCAGGAGCTGCATCTAATGTTGAACTGATCCTGGAGAGCTGTCAGGATGAAATCATTAAAGAGAGAAAAAAATAGATATGAATATATATAAGTTATGTTTTAATGAAAAGCAGTGAGGCTGTAGTGAATCTATATCAAGGAAAAGTGAGTATGTTCTGTTTGATTACCATTACAGGTTATAAGTGATACCATTAACAACACATGTAGAATATTTCCAGTGAAAAATATTCGATTATGTTTTCTGGTACTTGTAGTTTTTACCACATATTTTATAGATGCTTAAGGGGCTGAAAAGGAGTTAGGGAGCACTTTTTGGGAATTCCTAGAGCTAGTTCCCTATTAGCTAAGCTTGCCTGGATCAGCCTGACTTTTGTTGCTCTGTAAAAGCATATTTAAAAGTAGGATCATAATCTGGATGAACTAACTGCTCAGAGTACGTTTTTGGGTATAATACTAAAGCTTTTTATCCGACCTGCAGTTACTGCAGTTAAGATTCCTGGTCCTATGTTTCTAGGTTCTAGATGGAAAGGAAGAAGTGGAGAAACAACACAGAGAGAACATCAAGAGGCTGAATGGTGTGGTGGAGCAGCAAGAAAAGGAGCTAAACAGGCTTCAGACGGATGTAGAGGAGCTGCAGGAAAAAAACAGGAGCCTTCAAGCTGCCCTGGATAATTCTTATAAGTAAATATTTAACTTTCTTTTATAGACACTAAATGCTAAGAACATTAGCTCACAGGAGGAGTTCAGTATGTGTTTGCAGCGCAAACTGATGGGGACTTTGACCATCAATAACATTTAATTTGATATGTCTTAAAATCTCTTGGTATTGTTTTTTGTTGTAGTTTGATTTTTAGTCCAAAATGCTAAAAATGAGTCTATAACTCATAATTATCATATTTCATTTGTGTGATCATCGATCTGTTTTCTCCTTCTTTTAGTCACTAAATGTGCTTGTAATTTAGAGAACTCTGAGAAAGGTATGTCTGGTAATTTTACATTTATATGACTAATTTAAGAGCTTCACAAAGTCAAAGGTCACACAGTCCCGATATGTTAAGATGCAGAACAATGACGGCAAAACTATTTCTTTTATTCAAAGTCGTAGGGAAATCATATTTAAATGTCAAATGATTCTGGCTTAAACGCAGTGTTGGGAAAGTTCTCTTTCTACGTGAACTAGTTCAAAGTTC